GCCCTGGCCGCCGCCGCCGTGGCCGCCAAGCGCGGCGCCGACCGCGCCGTGGCCGACCGCCTGGCCGCCCTGCCCGACGCAGTGAAGCAGGTGAGTGCGTGCCGGTCGCGGCGCCGGCCCCGATGTGCGTGCCCTAACGCGTCCCGCGCGGCGTGCAGGCGGCGCGCCGGCCCAAGTGCGGCGTGCTGAGCTTCGTGAGCGAGCTGGAGGAGCTGAGCGGCGCTTGCGAGCAGATCTTCGCGGGCAGCGGGCGGCGCGCCGACGTGGAGCGCTGGTACGTGATGCTGGGCGGCGCCATGGTGCGCGCCGTGGCGCTGGCGGAGCACCCGCGCACGCCGCGGCCGGTGCTGCAGCTGGAGAACTACCACCGGCTGCAGGCGGCGCTGGCGGCGCTGCGGCTGCCCGCGCTGGACGCGCTGCGCCGCGAGTGTCGGCAGCGCTACACGGAGGCGCTGCGCAGCTACGTCACGCAGTACTTCGGCCGCCCGCTGGAGAAGCTCACGCAGTTCTTCGAGGGCGTGGCGGAGGCGGTGGCGTCCGGCGTGCGCGAGGACGAGGTGTGCTACCGCGCCGCCTTCAGCAAGCACGAACTGCGCCGCGTGCTCGCCATGTACCCGGCGCCCGAGGGTGAGTAGCGCGCGGTCCCCGGTGCGGTCCCCGGGCCCCGCCCCCCGCTGACGGTGTGCGGTGTTGCAGTGCGCAAGTCGCTGCACCGGCTGTACCGCACGGTGGAGAAGCACCTGAGCGAGGAGGGCGGGCTGCTGCAGGTGGTGTGGCGCGCCATGCAGGAGGAGTTCATCGCGCAGCACGTCGCTTTGCAGGTCCTAAATTTGATGACAGATGCAAAAACATACTGTTTTGTTCATAAATATTTATTAAAACCTATTTGGATTGTAAATAAAGTAACAGTAGGTTCTAATTTTCTTTTAAAGCATAGTGCCCGCGGTTCACCCGAGGTTAAGTGGTTATTGGGATTGCTAGATAGCACACGAGCGGGGTCGGGGCCGCGGGACTGCGCCGGCCGCAAACCGGAATTCGTTACTGCTCCGAGTCAGCAGCGGGGGGCTCCCGGCGCGGTAGAGTACACGGCTTGGTTGAACGAAATAGAGAAATAACACAAAATTAATGCAATTTTGCAATAAACGTTCTTTACAAATATCTTGTATAGAAATTCAAATTCAAATTCAAAATCATTTATTTCAACTTGGATGTCATCAAAAACACACTTGTTGAATGTCAAAATGTAAAAGAAAATGTTAACTCTACCACCGGTTCCAAAAAAAGCCACAGTCCTGAGAAGAACCGGCGAAACAAATTCAGCGGCCTTTTTTTTGTTTTTTTTGTATTTACTCAACTATTTTTTTTTTTTTAAACAAGAAAACATATTTACAGTATACAAAAAAACAAGTCAAAAAAATACAATTCAAATAAATAATAATAGTAATGAAAAATGAAAAGGCCAGGAGCGAACGCCTCATTCCCACGTAGTGCCATCTAGTAAAAAATCCTTAACTTTATAATATGCCTTGTTGCACAAACGTTCCTTGACAGTTTTCTTAAATCTATGAACAGGTAGTAGTTGAATGTTTTGTGGGATCTTGTTGAAAAGTTGTACACCCAGCCCCCTGAAAGAGTTGCTTATTTTCTTAATTCGAGCCGCCGGCAACGCAAGCCTATGTTTGTTCCTAGTGTTCACATTATGCAAATCGCAGACTCTAGGGAATTCTACAATGTTTTTACGCACGTACAATAAATTTTCAAAAATGTATTGGGACGCTAAAGTTAGAATTTTGATTTCCTTAAACTTGTCCCTCAAGGATTCCCTCGGGTGCATATTATAAATAGCACGAATAGCCCTCTTCTGCAGGATGAAAATCGTTTCGACATCGGCAGCATTGCCCCATAGCAAAATGCCATAGGACATAACACTATGAAAATAACTGAAATAAACTAGACGTGCCGTATCTTCATCAGTATACGTTCGTATTTTTTTTACCGCAAACGCTGCAGAACTAAGTCTATTCGCTAACTTGCATATGTGAGGACCCCACTGCAGCCTGGAATCAACTGTTATACCAAGAAAAACTGTCGAATCAACAAGCTCCAGTGTCTCTCCACTTACAATGATATTAGTGTCTACTTGTCTAACATTAGGTGTGGTAAATTTTATACATTTTGTTTTTTTGTTATTTAATAACAGATTATTAACACTAAACCAATGTACCACGCGCGAGATAGCATCATTCACATCGTCATAATCTTCCAATTGTCGTTTAATTTTAAACAATAAGGATGTATCATCAGCGAATAATACGACCTCGTGACGGGTTTCAATAAACTTTGGTAAATCATTGATATACACAAGAAATAAGAAGGGACCCAATATGGAACCCTGAGGAACACCCATATTAAGTAAGACACCGGAAGATCTCTTTCCTTTAACGTCTACCTTTTGGATTCTTCCGGATAAATAAGATTTAATAAGTTCTAATGAAACGCCCCTAATACCATAATGGTGTAATTTCCTCAACAATGTATTATGCTCAACACAATCAAAAGCTTTAGATAAGTCGCAGAATACCCCAAGGGCATTATGCGATTCCTCCCAAGCCTGAAAAATATTTTTAATAAGATCTACACCTGCATCAATAGTCGAACGGCCTCTAGTGAATCCATATTGTTTGTTATGAAGCAGGTTATTGGAATAGAAATGGTTCAAAAGCTGTTCCAAAATAATTTTTTCAAAAATTTTACTCAATGTAGGTAGTACTGAAATGGGTCTAAAGTTAGTGGGGTCAAAAGTACTACCAGATTTAAACAGAGGTATTATTAGGAAAAACATTAAATCACAGTAAAGCCATCGAACTTAAGCGCGGTTTGTGCAGGCGCGCGTGGCCGCGTGCTACCCCGCCGCCGGGCTGGCGCTGCCGCTGTCCACGGACGACATCCTCGACGCCTTCTCCGACATCGCCCGCCAGCACTGAGCCCGGGCGGCACGCTCGCTCCCAAGACGCCCACAAAAAGGAAGTTTTTTCTATAAGATCATTGATGTCATCAGCTGTGACGGGTCGCGGCGCGCCTGCCCCGCGCCCCGCCCCGCCCCGCACCCCGCCCCGCGCCCGGCCGCGGTTTGTCTACAAATTTCTGAAAAGTTCGAATAGCGTTTCGTAAACCAATCGTCATGTACGGAAACTCAAAAAGTCCAAACGGGGTTGTTATCGCTGTTTTTGGTATATCGTCTTCAAAAACAGGTATTTGATTAAATGCTTTAACCAAGTCGATGGTAGCAAATACACGATAGCCAGGTGGGTAGGCTATGCGCGAAGTCTTGGTTATGGCGAATCGATGGTGCGAGCGATAGAACAAAAATATATATAAAGAAAAAAAGCATGTGTACAATTCACACGTGGTAAAAGTGATATCGTAAAAAAGTTCGAATTCAAGTTAATGAGACGAATGTAAAATTTCGGGATAATTGTAGGTTTTAGTAATGATCATAATGTTACAAAGTTTGATAATTATTTAATATTTTATTCGTATATATTGCATATATTTATTCAGAATGTATTAAGTACGAAGCAGAGCACAAAGAGAACCACGAATATAAGAAACACTGTATTATAATGCTTCTTGTCTTATTTTCTCACGTTAAATCTTATGACAATGTGTCTCTTCCGACTGTCGCTTTTTCTTTTCATCGATTTTCGAATTACAACGATGCTAAATAAGTTTTCACTTCAAAAAGACTCAGGCATCTGTCAAATATCTTGTGTTCTGTGATGGCTACCGCCACAATAAGCACGGTATGCTGCAGTAGGCAGCGGCTTGACTCTGCCCCTGGAATTGCTGAAGTCCATGAGCGACGGTAACCACTTACCATCAGGTGGCCCGCATGCTCGTCTGCCTAGAAAAGCGATAAAAAAATATTGCCGGACGGTATGTGACAAAAAAGACCTCTGGAAACACACTGTCGATGAACGCAGCGGTTACGGATAATATGGATGGACTGCTCCGATGGAGGGAGGTGCGATATTAATAATTAATTAATATGGGTAAACTGTAACAGAGAAGTAGGAAGGTAATATATGCTAATACATGTCTCACTCACTCTCATGTGCGTGAATAATGCCCTCTCGCTCGCTCGCTACACACAGAGCCATTTTTTTTTTATTGCTTAGATGGGTGGACGATCACGCGGCCCGCCTGCTGTTAGTGGCTACCGGAGCCCATAGGTATCTACAACGTAAATGCCGCCACCTACCTTGAGATATAAGTACTAGGTCTCAGTTTTTACAGTACAACGGCTGCCCCACCGTTCAAACCGAAACGCATTACTGCGTCACGGCAGAAATAAATGAGGCGGAGGTACCGACCCGCGCGGACTCACAAGACGTGCTACTGCCAGTAACTACGCAAATTATAATTTGCGTGTTTGATTTTTATTACACGATGTTATTTCTTCACCGTGGAAGTCAATCGTGAAAAATGAAAAACGTACTTAACAATATGTGTTAAGTACGTTTTTTATTAGAAGAATTGGTAGCGGCCTGCGGGATTCGAACACCGATACGTCGCTAGATATGAATGCACCTAAAGCCCTGCATGCAATGCACCTGTCGCCACGACGACAATCAAATTGAGTTTAGGGGATGATTGACACCTTGGATTGGTCAGTCTTCTTGTAAAAGGCTTTAAAATAGTTCTCTGGCGAACATATAGAATTGGAGCGTCAAAATTTAAGTAAATTTAATTAATTATTTTGAGAGTTTTAAGGCGTCATATCATATGATCATCGCACATTGTGAAGGTCAAACTGGATTTGTAGACGGAGCACTTGTGATAATCCAAATGTAACACAGGGGTTATCACGACTGTGATTTTCCTGAATTTCAGTAAAGAGATAAATGTAGAGTAAGTATGTAAATGGATAAAAGCTGATGCCTAACATACCACCAAATTCTATCACCGTGATGGATAACGCAGCTTACCATTCGGTTCGAAAAGAAAAAAGCCGACTGGTTTGTACCAAGGCGGTAATGCAAACGTGGTTACGACGACATGACGTGCCTTTTGATGATGAGCTTAGAAAGGACGACTTATTAAAAATTGATTAAAATGACAGAAACTGAAGATATTTACAAAATTGACGCGTTATAAAAAAGAAACAGACGAAGTATTGCGTTTGCCCACCTTGCCCGTAATGTAGTAATGCCAGGGACAGAGCCAAGCCGGTGCCTACCGTTAAGTACTCTCCACAAGCCTCGTTTGAAGAGGGACATGTCGTAGCACTGTGGATGACCGCAGTGGCTCCAGGTAATATGGAGATGAACTCTACTCCAGTGACGGGTGGTGCGATGGTAAAAACGAGATGATGGTATCATCTCAAACAATCCCTCAAAGCACTCCTCATGGAACATACGGTACAAAATACAGAGAAAAGCGAAGTCCCTTCGCAGACCCAGAAATTCCAAACGATCCGTGAGAATCGAATTAAAATAAACCCATTTAAAAAAAGCTCATTACGAATAGTTGTTCATACAATTGTTAATGTTTAGAAATAGAAAGTCGTCGTGGCCTAACGGATAAGACGACCGGCGCATTCGTGTTGAGCGATGCACCGGTGTTCGAATCTCAGGCGGGTACCAATTTTTTTTATGAAATACGTACTCAACAAATGTTCACGATTGATTTCCACGGTGAAGGAATAACATCGTGTAATAAAAATGAAACCCGCAAAATTATATATTTACTGGTGGTAGGACCACTTGTGAGTCCGCGCGGGTGGGTACTATCACCCTGCTTATTTCTGCCGTGAAGCAGTAATGCGTTTCGGTTTGAAGGGTGGGGCAGCCGTTGTAACTATATTTGAGACCTTAGAACTTATATCTCAAGGTGGGTGGCGCATTTACGTTGTGGATGTCTATGGGCTCTAGTAACCACTTAACACCAGGTGGGCTGTGAGCTCGTCCACCCATCTAATAAATAAAAAAAAAATAGAAACTTACTAACTTTTTGGAATTAAGATGTTCGAGGAAAGTGATAGTTGTATGTATGGGTTACGTGGCCAGAAACACAGCTTAGATCTTATCTTTTTAGAAGCTTCATTTCATTTTTTATACTCATAATATATCCTAGTACTTCAATGTATCAGCCAGTATCAGGGTTGTAATATTTTTCCAGAATAAGATCAGTTTCAATTAAAAATGTGTTTGGCTTCAGACACTATCAACTCAACTTCGCTGTCAAAAGAATGTTGGAAATACTATATTGGCTATTTTGTGGCAATCTTTTAAATTAGTTTAAACATTGAACTGGTTCAACATTAAAAGTTTAAAAAAATTTCAGTGGTTATATATTTGGACAATTAACATCCTGAACAAAATATGAAATCCTGTACCTCCTATCTATCAGTTGATTTAGTTCTGTTTTAGGTTATGTATTTAAAATGAAACCTACACTTTTAAAAGTATACTAACTATACTTGAGATCTTAGAAATTATATCTCAAGGTGGGTGGCGCATTTCGTTGTAGACGTCTATGAGCTCCAGTAACCACTTAACATCAGGTGGGCTGTGAGCTCGTCCACCCATCTAAACAATAAAAAATAAAAAAGTATCTTCACAAGCTTCAAACGAAAAGTAATGGTAACATAGATCTAACCCAAATATTAATTACCAAAATTATCATGTAAACTGTTTAATCATATCACATCTTGATGAGAAGAAATAGTTTAAAGTCAAAGAGGGCATTGCTATAACAATGTAATTTTTAGGAACATCTCAGAAATAAAACTAAATTTTATTTAATTTCTATTTAACATAAATCCAAGCTTTTGTTATTAGTGAATGCTTAATCCAGGGACTTGGGAGGCGAGTAGTTGAGGTAGACCAGTCCTGATGTTTTTGCCTGAAAACAAGAAAAATTACATATTAATGTATGTGAACACTACAATGCATATTATCTGTTATTTATAATCTAATTTTTTGTTATGTATCACTGCTCGGTGCCAGAAATAGACAGGACACTTGTACTTATCTGTGGGTACAATATGCCCATCTTTCAGTGATTATACAAATTTATACTTTTGGTAGGTTTTATTCTTTTTTATAAGACACTACTGCTTCATTGCAGAGTTATTCATGAGCACATAAACATTAGATTTCTAAATAAATGTTTACAAAAGTTAGTACATGCTGTTGTGTGCATGCCTTTTGGGGTATTGTAAAGAAATAGATAACCAGATATCTTGGCCCTGTTTGATGATCCCCAGAGGTTGCAGTTAATATGAAGTCTCATTTAGTTGCTGGAAGAGCTAAGGAGGAAGGAGTGAGTTTCTGCTCCATACAAGTAGGTACTTCATTGTTAATTTGCAGATAACAGGCCATCAGGTACAGGTAGTATTAAGCACAGTTGCTAAATAATAATTATAGAAAAGATTGTTCATTTTAAACATATTATGATTCTTTCGGTTTCTTTCATTTGACTGAATATACTTTCTCAACCACAAGCAAACAAACTTAATCTATTATATGTTAACTTACAACGACGAATGTAGCAGCAGTGAATGCAATTCCAAAGAGGAGCACAGCATTGAAGCGACGTTGGTTGGCATCATGGTGCGACTGCCATGAGCCTTTGGGCACTGGTAATTCATCCATGGTGGGGGGCTTGAAGTGACTTTCGCCATGGTAGCGACGCACTGAATACAAACATTTTATGTAGCTTTTGTCTAGGAATTTATAGTTCTCATATTATAGAATTTTAACAAAAAATAATTATGGTTTTTATATAAGGTATATAGGTTAACATTGAGTAAGAAAGGGGAACTCTACTGCCATACTGAACAGTTAGAAAGAGTATAATCTGCCAATTTTAAAGGTTATCTTTGTAGGTGTTATGTAATATTTTTTCTAGAAAATAATACCGGATTGCAATTTCTCTGAGAATAAATTTAATACTTTAATGTAGTAAGGACACGTTAGACTCACTAACTTTATAATATTTGCAAACGGACTACTGCATTTGGAATTTAATATAACTCTATAACCACTGTTATAATAACAAATTAAGAAATAACTTTTACCTGTTTGTTGGAAGAACCTAGATGCAATTTGGCGTGTTACGAACATTTTTATTGTAGCGCTCTTTGTGTAGTAAGTTTTATACACTTTGTATCACGCAGTACGCACTATTAAAATTGGAAAAACTGTAATCAAATTTAATCAATATCATAGATAAAAAACAATTTTTTTTAAATGATTTTATGACCTGGTAATTAAGACCTTTAGGTCATGTCTTATTTTAATTTATAATCTTATATTTATGAAAAATGATAATATAGAGTGAAATTAAATGAAGATGATTAATTTGAGACACTAATCACCTGTGATGAAATAAAATGAAATGAGATGAGATGAAAAAAACAATTTATAGAGACTTACAGTTACAGAGTAGTACTTGTAGTAGTACAGAGTACAGATAGGGATGGCGATCTGAGATCGATCAATCGATGTTTGTCGGGCCAAAAACTCGATTTTGTAAATCGATTTGGAGTACTAAATCGATTCAGTGAATCAGTATTTTTTTGTTTTGGTAAAAAACATGAAAAATTTTAGAATTAGCCTGTTCTCGAGTAATAAATAGGATAAATACTTAAATTTTAAATATTAAATCACAGCAACAACTTCCAATAATGAATAGTGAAGAATTCGACATAATAGCATTTAGTATATATTATAATTACTAGGTGTAATCTCGTATGTCCCCATAATAAGGCGGACCACTCAGAAACATAGGCTTCTTCATAATTGTAAGCTAGGATTAAGATGATTATTAAACATGGAATACACGCAAGAAGACGTTTTCCTTTAACATCTCCCAAAGTACAATATTACAAAGGGACTAAAATGAAAATAATAATTTGGATTTTATAAACTTGCTTTTGAAAAAGCAACCCTCTACATCTAATGCGCTTGCACTGAAAAGTCAAGGCTTAAACGAAGAATTTAAACACTATTTATCGCAGACAGTTGTGCACCTGAAGTATGATCTCATACTATATTGGCAAAAGAAAAAAAATGTATTTATCACTACCTTTACTCAATAAACATGATGTACACAGTATTTGAGTATCGTGGGATCATCTGTTCCTTGTAAGCGCCTTTTTTCAATTGCCGGAACATCGAAAGTGATGAGCGGAACCACTTAAATCCCAGTATTTTTTTTTGTCCAGGGGCCGAACCTTCTTCGAGGTCCCTACACCTAGGGGTCGGGCGGGGTATGTGGGACTGGCCCGTAAATGTTGGGAGCGGACTGCGGGCCCAAGAGATGGAATTTAGGGCGTCAGAATTTGGATGAAGTAACGGGGTTGCCGCGGTCAACATTTCAAGACACTGTGGTTTTTAGACAGCTTAGATATTAAGAGCATTGGGCATAGCATTAGCTATATTGATTATTTTCTGAATCTTTTAATATAAAAAAAAAACGTTTTCTTTTATACCTGATACTTTGATATGGTAATAAAAATAATTGTTAATTACCTGATTTTACTGATAAGAGATAGTTTATTATGATATTTTTTTTGTTTTTAATAAAATGAAAAAAATTCGAATCAATTTAAAAATCAATATTTTTCGGAAATGAGCGTCGCCGCGTCGTTTTCATCGTTTTAAATGGAATGAACACGAAGAAAAGAAACGAAGCTCTTACAACCAATTTTGTATAAATGTACCGCAACGGTAGCTGTTTAATGGCTGTAAAAGGATGAATTAATTCACATAATAATAGGTATGAATAGTTTCATCTATTCATATGTGCCGCATCTATCCGAGCGTAACTAGAATAGCCATTTAGGATACCAGCGACTAGGAAGTTAATTATGTTTACCTCTACCCTCCATATCAATAATATTTGTTAAGCATGAAGTCATCGTGGCCTAAAGACTTCCGGTGCATAATAAAAACCAAGCAAGGGCTGTGTAATAAAAACCAAGCCCGCAAAATTATGGTTTGCGTAATTACTGGCGGTAAGACGTCTTGTGAGTACCACCACCCCACCTATTTCGGCCGTGAGGCAGTAATGCGTTTCGGCTTGAAGGGCGGACAGCCGTTGTACTGTTAAAAGTGAGACCTTACAACTCATGTCTCAAGATGGGTGGCGGCATTTACGTTGTAGATGTCTATGGGCTCCGATAAACACTTAACACCAGGTGGGCCGTAAGCTCGTCCACCCATCTAAGCAATAAAAAAAAACTATATACATATTACTACGCCGGTAAGAGTAACGCCATCTATCACCGAATAGTCGAACGAATATCTAAGGATCTAGTAGCACCTAGAACGCTCGGGAAGTACAACGCCATCTACTGTCAGATAGCGGAAACACCATACCAGAAATGTGTGGAATATTCTCGATAATGCTAGGGATGATGTATCGACTGTAAAAGCGTTGCAGATATGGTACGCAGTCAGTCAGTAATCGGAACTTCTCGAAGCGAGACAGCGAACGGATCACCTGAAGCGAAGCGAAAGAAGCGAATTGAGAATTTTCAAGTGTCCACCTGTTGTTAAGTGGTTACTGGAGCCCATAGACATCCACAACGTAAATGCGCCACCCACCTTGAGATATAAGTTACAGCGGCTGCCCCCCACCCTTCAAGTCGAAACGCATTACTGCTTCACGGCAGAAATAGGCAGGGTGGTGGTACCCACCCGCGTGGACTCACAAGAGGTCCAACCACCAGTAATTACGCAAATTATAATTTTGCGGGTTTCATTTTTATTACACGATGTTATTCCTTCACCGTGGAAATCAGTCGTGAACATTTGTTGAGTACGTATTTCATTAGAAAAATTGGTACCCGCCTGAGATTTGAGCACCGGTGCATCGCTCAACACGAATGCACTGGACATCTTATCCACGACTTTTTTTTTTTTTTTTCCTACCTAAGCTGAGAGCCTTGAGAGGCTATGTCAGCGTAACCCTAACTTTTGTAGGTGAGCTCACGGGGCTCAAACCTGATGACGTTGCTAACACGAACCCTAGCAAGAGCCGTGCTTCGCAGAATCTACCACCGGATCGGAAACGCGACCCACTGAGAAGATCCGGCGAGAAACTCAGTGGGCTGTGTCTGGGAGTTAATTTACTCGTCGAGCCCTTCGTCGCAAGCGACGGGTTCGACGAGAACGGTGACCGGTGTTTGAAGTACCTAGAAGCACCGTTAGTGGATCGGGAGGATCCGAGATGACGTGTTTTGGGCGACGTCGACTGCTTTCCATACTGTCCGCAGGATCGGGAATGTAGTTACCGGCGGCCACGATGAGAGGGTTCTCGTGTCGTGCCGCTTTATCGAAGTGGCGCATTGACGCCGACTGCATATACTTACTGGTGGACTCTAAGTCCAGGTCGTCATGGAGGTCGACGTTCCTGACGAACCACGGGGCTCCGACGGCTATCCTGCAAAAACGGGATTGAATGACTTGGAATGATTTTAAGTGTATGCGGGCCGCGTGAGCGAACACTACACTTGCATAGGTCATGACGGGGATCCCCGACGACTTCATAATATAATTATATATAAACTTATTACACGCGGTTGTCGAATACGTCGCGCGACTCGCATGCCAATGTACGAGTCACTCGCCGCCGCCGCGTCGCACCCGCGCCGCACCGGTCTGCAGTGACGAAATGACGCAGAGACGCCATGCGCCAGTGTGTGTGGACTGTGGTAGTGTGGAGTGATGTGATGGCGAGTGTCGACCGACGCCAGTTCAGCTGAGAGGCCCGAGAGCGGCGCGCGCGCACTGCTCGCCTCCGCGCTTTGTTTACTTATCACTCTTCAATATATAAATATGGTTCGGTGAAAAAAGTGATGGGGTGGCTGAAGGGTTCCGTAGGGAGAGCTCGTCATACGGACGCCGAGGAAGACGACGCTAATTCGGACAAGCAAGCTCCCCATTTGGAAGTTCTGGAGACAGCAGACGAGAAACGCGCGCGGTGGCGCAGCGTGTACATCATCTACTTCACCATGTTCCAGATGTCATTGGGGTTTAGCATCGTGCTGACCGGAGTGTGGCCATACCTCGACAAGGTACGGGACCTTCGCGCAGTTCGTTCACACCCGAGCGCTCGCTTATCTACTTATTGCTAAATGGTTACGTTTATTATGGTGTTCTAACTTATTTTGGTGCCCAGAGTGTTTGTACACAATACTCGTACTACCTAGTTATTTAAATCATAGGAATCACAGCCCATTGCGTTTCTCGCCGGATCTTCTCTGTGGGTCGTGATTGCGATCCGGTGGTAAATTCTGTACGGCCGAAGCACAGATCTTGCTAGGGCTAGTGCTTTCAAATTCTCGGGTTGAGCCCGTAACTCACCTACCCGTTCGCGCGAAGGTGAAATAGCTCCTTCGGCTACCAGCGAATAGGTAGTGAAAATAAAAAATATGTATCATAAAGAAAATGAAATGATTGTGGACAACATGGACTACTCTTAATATACGAGCTCGACTATAATATGCAAGGGGTACAAACAAACACATCCGCGTATGCTCTCTTCTCTAATATACTTCATCCTTTTTCCATCATCGTCATCTTCCTTACCATTGTTTTATCTCCTGGTCTGTTTCTTGTTGTTTGCCTTGTTTCTACCCGTTTGTAAATTTATCACTCATGAGTAACTTCACTCACTTTCATACTCTACTCACAGTTGACGCTAATAATGTGAGAAGCATCATTATTTCGAACTTTCTTATTTGAATCGCATTGTCAAAACTTAAGGAGACTTCTAACTCATATTACAATGTGAGTAGTGGAATTGGGTTTCGGTAATAATTTAACACTAGGTGGGCCGTGCATATTTAAAACAATTTAGGGCGAATGTAACTGAAGCTTAATGAGCTGCGCCAGCATACCCCTCGGCGGGAGGTCAACTACACTTGGAGCAAGTGTCTTTTTCCATATTGTGTTTCGGAGTTGAAGTCCATTAAGGCATGACAGAACCCTGCTCATAGGTGTTTCGCGGGTCACGAGCGAATTACCACCACTGGAAAACATTCTGTATTTGGGTTATAAAGGGCAGAGGTCGAGATACTTCATTGACACAATGTCTATTTACTGGAATAATTAATTAATTAGTATGCGATGCGGAAAAGGTAGTGACCATACTTAAACAAAATGTAAAATGGAAAAAGAAAGTGTCTTAATCATAAAATCTATATCTATCATAGCAATGACTTCGGCGCGGAAACCTGGACACTGACGGCGGGTCTGGCCCATAAGTTACTTAAGAGTCGCACAGCGGGCGATGGAGAGAGCTATGCTCGGTATCTCTCTAAGGGACAAAATCCGGAACGAAGAAATTCGACGGAGAACCAAACTCGACTACATAGCTCTCAAAGTTAGCAGGCTAAAGTGGTAATGGGCCGGTCACATCTGTCAAGCCAGCGACGCCAGGTGAGGGAGGAATGTCCTCGAATGGAGGCCAGGGATGGGTACCAGGAGCGTGGGGCATCCTCCAACCAGGTGAACCGATGACTTAGTGCGCACGGCGGGAAGTCGTTGGATGCGGAAGGCGGAGGACCGCATTATGTGGCAGGCATTGTGGAAGGCCTACGTTTAGCAGAGGGCAGATAAAGACTGATGATGATGATAAAATCTTGCTACCTTAGTGTTGCTACTTTGAGCTGTCAAGCTGTCCACTGCGGCCCACTTAATTGTAAGTGATTATGAACGTTCACGAATACCGGTGAGTCCATGAGCAGAGCTTGGCTGCTGTCTACCGTACCGAACCAGATGTTCGTTCCTAAAGTTTCAGTAGAAGGGAGACTCACACCGGACCTCGCTCAATACTTAGACTTCAAGTTTTGAAGTGTTACCAGACAACTGCGGGTAGACTCCTTGGAACTGTGGCGCCATCACAAACGATGTCATCTCTCTTATTTAAGATCAGAGTTAATAATAATATCAGGGACAGGTCTAATTTAGGGAAAGTTGATAGGGTCATTTAAGATTTTTATAACTATTATCAGAAATATTTATATTATCCTGAATAAATCTTTTCATAGAGCCCTAAGGATAAATGTTTGACTTATTGGTAAAACAAAATGAGCCTTTCCTAAATGAGCACAAGGCTGATTTTGGACTTTATTAAATGAATGATCGAACATCTAATATCTAGATTCTAATTCAATGACATTTTTCTGCCTACTACGATTTACTAATAAATGCGTTAATGACGAAACCGCTTTGGTCGCCTCAGAACGCATTCTGCAAATATTCCCAGAATAAATATTGCGTTAACTTTGTTTTGACAAATATGTTGTCGTTTTCATAGACATAAGACGTTTTTAATCGCAATCGAATACGAAGACAGCCGGCGGAAGACGCACCCCGGCCCCGCACTCCGCGCGCCCGCCCCCCGCGCGCCCTCCACCCGCTCGCCCGCTTGCACTAACGACCTCATTAACCTTGACATAATATATATTGAGCAGTTTCAAGTCAGCTAATTACAACCAATATTACTATAAAAATTAAATAAAAATTTACGTACAACGAAATCACACGCGCACACACTCACAGTCACAGCACTCAGATAGCATGGCTAGACGCAGCATGGCAGATAGCATAGCAGTCGTCGGCGCCACGACCACCAGCCCTCTCGGTCGGCAGGCTTCCATCACCCGGATGCTCTTGCATAAAACGTGTGTAGAGCAGCTTGCACGTCGTCTTCTTAGGCCCCCTTCGCCGGTCCTCAGGCCAACATGTGAGGGAGACCCGAAACACTTAGAGGGCCAGGGCTTGGGCGAGATCCGCCTCCCTGGCCCCCGCTCGACGGCGGCGGGTCTGTGCGCCTCTGACGCGCCCCGCCGCCTCCTTCTGCGAGATGGTGCACTCGCAGAAGTCGAGCATCGCCTTCCACGACTCGCCGTCATCGAGCATTGATGCCACAACACTCGGCAACGACAAGTCGTTTCCAATTTTTGCGACGAGGACACCGCGCTACCCCTCCCATGCGGGGCAGGCGACGAGCGTATGTTCCGCCGTGTCCAAGTCGCAACCACAATGGTGGAACCCTGTCGTCGGCTCGGCTCCGATCCGGTGCAGGAACTCACCGAAGCAACCATGCCCAGTGAGCACCTGCGTGAGCCGGAAAGTGAGGCGTCCTCTGTCACGATTCACCCAATCCACAAGGACCGGGCGAATCGCCTCGACGGTCCTACGACCAGCCGAAGGATCGGCCAGCCGTCTGGACCATGACTCCAGCAATGATGATACTGTACGTTGTTTTATTATCGCAAGTTTGCAAGCGACGAGTTTACGGTGTTGGACGGCGCCGGTGCATGGGTGGGTGCTTAATAACAATATTAACTTTATAAATGACGTCGACAGCGACCATCGGAAACGTTTACAGTGTTTTTGCAGCACTTTTTGTTCATTGGTACGTATGAGAGATAAATTTGGTAGTTGCATACAACATTAATTAATATACAAAGTGTTTTCATTTTTATTCCATACTAGCTGACCCGGCAGACTTCGTAGTGCCTCAATCGATTAATAAAAGACCTAAACTTTAGTATAAAATCAATTTAAAATAAACAAAAGGAATCCGTCCGACGGGGGACACATCAAAGCAAAAACAAAATTGTTATTTTTATTTAATTCCGAGCAATTTCATATTTCTCTACCTTTTAAGCCTTCTCTGGACTTCAACAAATAATTCAAGACCAAAATTACGTAGTGTTCGTACGAAAAAGGTGGTCAAAGCAGTAAGGGAAAGAATTCGAAGAAATCCTGTTCGAAAGCAAAAGATTTTATCTCGGGAGATGAAGATAGCACCTAGAAGCATGTTGCGTATTTTAAAAGATGACTTAGGACTTGCAGCCTATAAGAGACGTACTGGTCATTTCTTAACTGATAATTGAAAAGAGAATAGGGTGGTAAAATCGAAACAACTACTGAAGCGGTACGCAAAGGGAGGTCATAGAAAAATTTTGTTTACGGATGAGAAAGTTTTTAAAATTGAGCAACATTTTAACAAACAAAATGACCGTATTTATGCTCAAAGCTCTAAGGAAGCTTCCCTTAGTCGACAGAGTGCAACGTGGGCACTATCCGACTTCAGTGATGGTTTGGTGGGGTATTAGCTATGAAGGAGTGACTGAGCCATACTTTTGTGAAAAAGGTATCAAAACATCGGCACAAGTGTATCAAGATACCATTCTTGAGAAGGTAGTGAAGCCCCTTAACAACACCATGTTCAATAATCAAGAATGGTCCTTCCAGNTGGGGTATTAGCTATGAAGGAGTGACTGAGCCATACTTTTGTGAAAAAGGTATCAAAACATCGGCACAAGTGTATCAAGATACCATTCTTGAGAAGGTAGTGAAGCCCCTTAACAACACCATGTTCAATAATCAAGAATGGTCCTTCCAGCAAGACTCGGCGCCAGGTCATAAAGCTCGGTCTACGCAGTCTTGGTTGGAAACGAATGCTTCGAACTTCATCAGAGCTGAAGACTGGCCGTCGTCTAGTCCCGATCTTAATCCGCTAGATTATGATTTATGGTCAGTTTTAGAGAGCACGGCTTGCTCTAAACGCCATGATAATTTGGAGTCCCTAAAACAATCCGTTCGATTGGCAGTGAAAATTTTTCCCAAGGAAAGAGTGCGTGCTTCTATTGATAACTGGCCTCAACGTTTAAAGGACTGCATTGCAGCCAATGGAGACCACTTCGAATAAGCTTTTTATACTTTAAATTGTTTCATATTTATGTATTAAACTAACACACTGTAAAAGTAACAAATGTTATTTGCAATAGATTTTTTTTCCTTTGTAACAGTATTTATGGCCAGACTAAGTATAGATAGATAGATAACTTAGTTAAACTTCGATTATTAATTATATCCACTATTTCACGAACCATGTTCGGGCCTCCTCTGCTACTTTGATTAAGTTTGCCGATTTAGTTCATTGACTTTCACAATTGAAGTTGCTTAAAAGTGAAGAGCATAAATGATAAAAAAATGCATTTCTATTTGGGCCGAGAAACTCTTCTTCATCGAGCTACTGCGTGGCTCGTTGCTGTTTTACTGTGAATAATAAATGCAGTTTTATCAAACTGTACAAAATGCAATGTAACGTTGAGTGAACGTTAGTATGAAGTTGTTTAGTTATATTATATGTAATAATAGAAAATGTCATTTTAATGACTTGCTTAGTTACCTGGTCGCTAGCACAACACGTAAGCGGCGCGCGGCGGCACGTTGTGATCCACAAGTGTAGAGAGTCCCTGCTTGTTTCTTCGTACGTAATAAGCTGGTGGCCTTGTGGCCTTGAGAGGCTATGCCAGTGTAACCGAGCGAGTAGGTGAGCTCTCGGGGCTCTAACCTGGGGGCGTTGCTAACACTAGCTCTAACAAAAGTGTTGCTTCGCAGAATCTACCACCGGATCGGAAACGCGACCCGCTCAGAAGATCCGGCGAGAAACTCAGTGGGCTGTCCCTGCTTGAGTATTGAGACGAGACTTGTTGTAGTCGCGCTGATCGTTACCAGTGCTCCCGCATGACCTCACGGGATTTTGTGCTGGAACTATATTACGGTTATTATTCACTTTGTACGTTTTACTTACTTTTCTTACTTAAGCTCTTAGATGTGCTTTTAATATAGTATATAATGATTCTTTCTTGAAAAGCGATGAATTTCGCATAAAATTTTTATTACCAATTTACCCTTTTAGAGGGAAAAAATTGAAAACTGCCCATATATAATACATAATATGTACATCGGTTCCTGATCAGAAACAAATGAGTGAATTTTTGAGCTCTTTACTTTAAAAATGTCATCCCTTCAATCCCTTGTTTCAACCCAGTCCCTTATTATAGATCACATTCATAGAGATGAAATTTCTCAACTCAATCTGTTGTGATCTTTACAACACGAACGGCATCAAAACAAAATTCGAAGTTTGTAGCAGTAGCATACTCAGTTGTAGTTGTTTTTTCTCTAAGCGTTGTTTTTATGTACTTAAGATAATAAATAAAATAAATTTGAAAAGAAGTAGTAGGATACTAACAGCAGGATCCCACAGCTGCCTGGCGTTAGGTGATGGTCAGAGTACATCGACAGCACAACGGGGATGCCGTCACCCACGTCGTCCCACGGTGAGATGACGGACACGGGGTCAAAGGTTCAGGTGCATTGGGTAAATTATCAATGATGCCCCTGCATTTAGTATGGAAGCGCACGGGCCGTACTCCCGACGCGCCCAGCACACATACAGCATATTCCAAGTCTCACTCTACACTTAAAACTGGTGAGGCCATCGAACGTATGCAATTAATTAAACTATTCTTGTTTTTATGGTCTCGCTGGCTTCCACTATAGCGGTCTCCGGTTATTATTATTGTTACTACGCCGTCCCTTTGTTCAAAAAGTAGTGAAATTGTCGCAGTCGTCGTAATCGGAAGGTGTAGATATAGTTGACGGGAAGTACGTTGACCTCCTGACGTGGCACCGCCGTGTGAAGTCGTCACGCGGCTTAGTTTAACCTAGTTTAGTGCATGCACTGGAGGGCGAGGCGCGCCGCTAGTGTTTGTATTGCGATACCGCACGGCCCTTTTATCTGTTTATTTGCGTTTATCATGTTTATACGTATCGTTATCATTAAGTTAAGAAGTTACCGCGACTTCCCCAGGCTTCCTGTTCTTGGTGGTGGGATGATAGGTCCGTAAAGGATTTTTCTTGCGAGAGTAAATAAGGGGCCGCAGTCTCGCGTGCCTATTGAAACACTCAGACCGCAGGATCGCGACCAGCGTGTGGTTAATTATTTGAAATGGTCAGTCCTTCAGGATCGTGATGCAGTGTCTTGCGCGACATAGAGAAATCGTTTGGGGAGAAGGGCCATCACTGTTGCTACGGTTCGGTGTGTTGTTTATCTAGAAACAAACGAATAATGGTTATTTCATGTTACGTCATCATTTTCAGTTGGAGCCAGGTTCACAGAAAGAGATTCTTGGCGTGGCGGTGGGTGCCAACCCGCTGGGGCAGCTGTTGTTCTCTCCGCTGCTGGGGCTGTGGGCGAACCGGTCGGGCTCCGCGCGCGCCCCGCTGCTCGCCACCCTGGCGCTGTTCGTGCTGGCCAGCGCGCTGTACTCGCAGCTTCATCTGACCAGGCCCCACGCCAAGTACTGGATGGTGCTTGCCAGATTTTTAGTAGGAGTCAGCTCGGGTGGGTATCTTTATTACTCTGATATTAAATTTGTTTGCGAAAATAAAAAATAGAGACCGAATTGTCTTTTAAGTCCTAATAGTAATTTTTCAATAACTACTTTTTGGTAGGACCTCTTGTGAGTTTACTGGTGGTAGGACCTCGTGTGAGTTTACTGGTGGTAGAACCTCTTGTGAGTCCGGACGGGTAGGTACCACCGCCTTGCCTATTTCTGCCGTGAAGCAGTAATGCGTTTCGGTTTGAAGGGTGGGATAGCCGTTGTAACTATACTGAGACCTTAGAACTGATATCTCAAGGTGGGTGGCGCATTTACGTTGTAGATGTCTATGGGCTCCAATAACCACTTAACATCAGGTGGGCTGTGAGCTCATCCACCCATCTAAGCAATAAAAAAGAAAAAAAAATTTAACCAAACAGCTTTCACTAACTGATCTTAGCAACTAGTAATCTCTGATTAGAATAGAAATAAAAATGCTCAAATATAATAAAGTAAACCCAATAAAGTTGTATTGCAGCCAACATAGCTGTGGCCCGCTCGTATCTTTCAGCCGCCACGCTGGTCAGCGAACGCACCCGAGCCGTGGCCATAGTGTCTCTGGCGCAAGTGCTGGGCTTCGTGGTGGGGCCGGCGCTGCAGGCTGCCGCTGCGCCCCTCGGCGCTGGCGCTCCCTATCCACCACCTGGAGACTTCTCCGTGCCCTTTAGGCTAGATATGTACACTGCTGCGGGCTGGATCAATGCTCTGTTGGGGACCATCAATTTTATATTGTTCTTGCCGTGGTGCTTTAAGGAGAAGAAGATTGCTGCCCGAGAAGCTATGATTGCCCAGGGGAAAGATTCAGGTAACTTGTTAGCTTATTTTGCATAAATTCAGCGCTATAAGCCGGGCGGGTGGTGCGCATGTCACTTCGTGCGAGAGGATTGGGACGGACACGCCCCCCCCCCCCCCCTCCTCACGCTCCCCGGTACCTACGGAACAAGAAGCAGCACTGACATAAGACTAAACAATCATACTTAAATATCGAGTAGGACAATGAACACTTTGTTGTTTTATTTTTCAGAGAAAGAGGCTTTAGAATCCTTAAAGCCTGACCCAATCAGCAGCTGGACGCTGGTGGGCGCGTTCTTCGTGCTTGTGTTCAACTTCGTGCTGCTGGAGACGCTGGCGACGTCTCTGACCATGGACCAGTTCGCGTGGAGCAAGTCTCAGGCGCTGGAGTACATGGGCGCGCTGATGAGCGCTGGGGCGGTGGTTGCCTGCCTCACGTTCGCGATGATCGGACCTCTGACCAAGTTCTTCGAAGAACGGTACATGTGTTTTAATATCAGACATCCAGGAAACTTATAATAACTTTATAGAACATACGGCCCATCTAATAGTAAGTGATAACCGTCGCTCCAAGCATCGGAAATTTACATGAAAAGTAACATTGACATTTAAACAATTAGGTTTCAATAATTATAACTACTTTTACTGTTTAATTTCGCGTTGACGACGCGATGGTCGCCCCTCACTACAACAATGTATTCGTTCCGTCGGAACCGATATCGCGACATCACTAAAACGGAAATATACGCAAGATTAAATCACGAAAGTCGTCGTGGCCTAAACGATAATTCGCCCGGTGCATTCGTGGCTTGCGATTACACCAGTGTCCGACTCCCACAGGCGGGTACCCATTTTTCTATTGAAATACGTACTTCACAAATGTTCACGATTGACTTCCACGGTGAAGGAATTAACATCGTGTAGGTTTTTATAATTTTCGTAATTACTGATGGTAGGGCGTCTTGTGAGTCCAGCGGGTAAGGTACCACTAGCCTGCCTGTTTCTGCCGTGAAACCGCAACACGTTTCGGCTTGCAGAGTGGGGCAGCCGTTGTGTCATCGAACTGAGACTTGGAGCTCATGTCTCAAGGTGGATCGCGCCATTTACGTTGTAGACGTCTATGGGTTCCGGTAACTACTTAACAGCAGGTAGGCGTAGGGAGCTCATGCACGCATCTAAGCAATAAAAGTTATAATTATATGTGCGGCTCCCAGACACCGAACATAATACTTAATTAGGTGATATCGTAATTAATGTACTTCATTCACTACTTATTTGGTTCTTTAATTGAAAGTAGTTGGAAGCAGTGGCACTCTCGAACCGGTATAGATATCGGAGCGCGTGGACGCGGCAGCTCGGAAGCCGTGGTCACTCACTACTCACAGCCCATTCCAGTGTAGTCATTAGTTCCACTCCGCGGCCCCAAGCCGTCGGTGCGCGCTGATTTGACACTAACAGCGCACGGTCTTCGGCAGGGCGCTGCTCCTGTGGGGTGGGTTTCTGCTGACGGGTATGGCGTCAGTGTTCTGCATCCCGTGGGGGCCGGGCCCGCCCCCCCTGGCGCCGCGCAACGCCACGGAGGCGGGCGGCGGCTGTCCGCAGCTCACGCAGCCCTGGTGCGCCAGCTCGCGCGGCCTCACCCTCACACAGTTCTTGATCGGCTATGCGTGCGTCTCGGTGGGATATTCTCTTGGAGTCACGCTCATACAAACAATCTTCTCGAAAGTATTGGGCCCGAGACCGCAGGTGAATGACGTTTACCTATCTTAACCTGACCTTGTGATAATCATGAGAATAATATGATAGTCTAATTGTATGTACCTATGCATGGGACTTTATCTATGAAGTTGCCGTTTTACAAAACTGATCGTTTAAAACGTAATTTATGTTTGTTTGGCGATCAATTCCAATTAATTTTATAAAAAATTATGGAATTTCATTCACAAATACATTTGTATCTTGTTTTTATCAATATGGACATCAAATCAAAATAGGAGTAATTATAGAATAAACGTTCCGTCACAATCGGAATGACGCAATAGACCATCATTAATGACGTGTCGTGTTCGAAATTTGATACCCGAGAGGCAGTATAAAATGCCTTTGTTGGTTATCACCTGACTTCTTCTAGAAGGGTATTGAAAAATTACCACTGCGCTGGCAGAAATGCATCGATACCATGGGTGCACCTTTAGAACGATAGAAATAGAACTAATTATAGAAGTAATTACGTTAGCTTTCTGTATACTAAACGGCAATTTCGTAGGTAGACTCAATAATACTCTGCCAAGAAAGTATCGGGAAAAGATCAATAACACTCAATATGTTTTGTATTTATGTTAGTTATGAATACAAATTTATTTTATCACCTTCAACGTATGCTGCTTTAGAAACGATACACTTACGCCAATGAATAATCCAATTAACAAAATATTTTATTGAACGTTTTTCCCGGAATTGAGTTCAGTTCTCGTCGCGGCTCGCTCGTCCTTAATGTCTTCTATCGAATGAGCACATGTTCCACGAAGGGGTAATTTGAGTTTCGGAAAAGGAAAGAAGTCGGTTGGAGCCCCATTTAGCCAATTAGGTGGTTGCTCGATGGTATTAGTTGAGTTTGTGGTTAAAAATTCCTTCACAATGATGGCTTTGTACGACAGCGCATTATTGTGTTGCAAAATCTAAGAAATTTCTTTCTACAAATCTGTCCTTTTTCGTCGTATTTGCTCTCTTAAACGCCGCATTACGCTCAAATAATATTCATTGTTTACTATCCGCTTAGGTACTTCGGGAAAGAATTCCCAGTACACATCACCGCGATAGTCAAGGAAAACAGTCAACATGACTTTTGATTTGACTGATTTTTGATCGATTTTGGCGTGGTTCTTTGGCAGCTTAGTTTCAATATTTTGAAGGAGCCACTCTGAAGTTTGTTAATTGGTTTGCACATCAAATTCGTCTAGCTACGTTTCGGGTCAGAATTGTCTTGTTCTAGCGTGTCCTCGGTGATTCTTATGCGATTGAGTTGTAGGGGAAAATGTAGGTGTTTTGGGACTAGCCGAGCCGCAACATGTTTCATGCCCAAGTGATTATTTAAAATGGTACGGATCAAATCGGAAGTACGGAAGAAAGTTTGGCGGCTATCTCTCTCAAACTTTAATGAATATTTTCAGTCACAGTTTTCTTAATTTTTGTAATGTTAACTTCCTTTGTAGACGTTGCTGGGCTCACTTACCAGGGCGCGGCAAGTTGCCCGTCACAACTCGTCCGCTATTGAGAGCTTTGTACCACTTAAAAGCAAAACATAAAGTCGATTCACCTTAAGCTTCTTGTAACATTGTCACTGACTCCGAACATAAAATTCTATTGAAGATGCAAAATTTAAGAGAAACTATTAGATATTTTTGTCCATTATGAACTACGCAATGCACACTTCAAGTGAAATAACTAAACATGGCATGTATTCAATCTAAAACACATGCAACTCAAACTCCGCGTCAAAATGTAAATCACTTGTGCTAATTTAACAAAAACAAATAATTCAAATGCAAAATTATTTATTTCAACTTAGATGTCAGTATAACACACTTGTTGAATGTCAAAATATAAATAACAATGTTAACTCTACCACCGGTTCCAAAAAAATCCACAGTCCTGAGAAGAACCGGCGAAACAAACTCAGCGGGCTTTTTTTTTGTTTTTTCTCAAATATTTACTTTTTTTTTAAATAAATAAAAATATTAAAATAAAGGAAAAAACAAGTCAAAAAATACAATTAAAAAAAAAATCATGAATAATGAAAAGGCCAGGAGCGAACGCCTCATTCCCACGTAGTGCCATCTAGTAAATAATCCTTAACTTTATAATATGCCTTGTTGCACGAACGTTCCTTGACAGTTTTCTTAAATCTATGAACAGGTAGTAATTGAACGTTTAGTGGGGTCTTGTTGAAAAGTTGTACACCCAGCCCCCTAAAAGAGTTGCTTATTTTCTTAATTCGAGCCGCCGGCAACGCAAGCCTATGTTTGTTCCTAGTGTTCACATTGTACAAATCGCAGACTCTGGGGAATTCTTCAATGTACGCACGTACAATAAATTTTCAAAACTGTATTGGGACGCTAAAGTTAGAATTTTGATTTCCTTAAACTTGAGTTTGGAACCATAAACAAATTATCCATTCTCGATACTTTTTTGACTGAATGTATAAAACCATGGCCTATTGACTAACATAGTGGCCATACTTCCAATGGTATTTAGGGACTCTTTTTAATCTCATTTGAAGAAGGTTATTGTGTTATAGAGCTGCGGAAACGACCAGTCGGTAGTATAGCCTAAAGCTTGGCGGCTGCGGATTTCAATTGTAATGATCGGTGGTGTAGTGCGTGGGGACTGTTTGGTTGGGTGTCATGCGAGCCCATTTGGGTAGGCACCACCATCCTGCCTAATTCTGCCGCAATGTAGTCGTGCGTTCCGATATTGAAGCCTATCCTTCAGAGCTTTAATACAACTGAGTTGAGATTTCGACCTCATGTCTCAAGGTGGATAGTGGAATTCATTCTTGTACTGAGTTCCGGTAACGACTTACCACTAGACGTAGAAGTATCAAGCTTGAAGCGCTTACTCTGTTCCGGAGGCGGGGGATGAGAAGATCAAAGAAGATGCAGGGATCATCTGTAGCAATTTTCGGAACACGTTCTATTAGAAGAGGGTAATTGAATCATGAGCTGTAGTTTGATTGGCAAAATGTCTGCGGGCAGGGCGTCTGGATGGGCGTGCTGACCGGCGCGGGCTGCCTGTCCCGCGCGCTGGGCCCCGTGTTCGTGTCGGCGGTGTACGCGCGGCGCGGCCCCGACGCCACCTTCGGCAGCACGGCCGCGCTCACCCTGGCCGCGCTGCTCGCCCTGCGCCTCGTGTACGCCCGCCTGCGACCGCCCGCCCTCACCCCCGACCCCACCCCCACCGCACACGAGATGCAGCCCCTCCACAAAGACGACACGTGACGGACATAGGGGGTGGATAGCACCGCGTGCTCGTGTGAGGGTTATTTCTATCGAATTTATGCCGCTTGTGCCGATCAAATGTTTCAAATTTAAGTTTTAGTCTAGCTTCAATGTTAGTCCTACTTTAAATGAGTTTATATTGACATTCAACGAAATGTGCTCGATAATCGGTCGTTCTAGTAGACAACTACTCAGATGGTGAGATATTCTCGTGTAAAATGTAACTTATGTTTAAGAAACACCAATTTTTCCTTTATTTGTGTAGATATTCTACTACTAATAGACCATACCTCACCTACTTGTCTGTCTGTCTGTTGACAACTTCAAGTGCCAAAGGTAGGTAGGTGCACAAATAACACCATTTTCCTTATTCACAAAGATAAGTATCTACTGCCAGGCTTTTTTTTGCCCTGTATGCAGAAGAGCATACGGCCTACCTGATGGTGAGTGGTTACCGTCGCCCGTAGACTTCAGCAATGCCAGGGGTAAAGCCAAGTCGCTGCTTACCGTTAAGTACTCTCCACAAGCTTCATTTGAAAAAGTACATGTCATAGCGCTCGGTATAATGGCCGCTTAAAGTCGGGTGGGCTGTGAACTCGTCTCTCTATATACTTGAAAGGGTCGCTCACATTGGATATATTGCGCATACTATGATTCTGTCTAAAAGTATTTATTCTAAGCAAGCTGAAGCGAGTAGGAAACCATTGCCGATAGATGGCGACGCCTGCTCCGGCGCGCGGCTGTCGCGCAGGGACAGATCGTGAAGTTGCTCTCAACATTAAGCGATATTTTGAGCAACACTATCACTTGGTTCTCCTTATTATGTTAGAAATAATTTAGACTAACAAATGATTGTTGTTTGTCGAAGTTCGTGAATGACATTGTTATCGTTATCGTCACTGCGGTTGTGTGCGTTCTCGCTGCTCAATATGAACTGAAGGGTGTATTAAGGTTATCTACTTTTATTTTCTAAGTTTCGAATAAATAATTTGTTAAAAATATGATTTAGTTTATTTGATCTTATAAAATGTACAATATCACAGGCTGCGTTATGTAATTGTGTCCGCCTGACCCCGGCTGTCCGTAGTAGAGCACGTAGCGCGTGTAGAGCACGTAGCGCACGTAGCGCCCGCCGGCCGTCGAGCGGCTTGCCGCACGCTGCTACTGCTGCGTTTTACGTCAGCGATAGACCGCGACACGAGCGTTCTTACTCGAGCGGTACTGAGTAGCGCACAAATGAAAATGTACAATTTTATATTATTAGCATTTATATGCATCATATACCGTTTTTATAATATCAAGCAGCTTGGCTAAACGTGTACGTGACAGGGAACTCACTTGCCTCAGGTATTTGTAAGGTAATTCAAAATTAATACATATCGAGGAGTGAAGGGCCATTTGGTTTAAGCGACATTTCGCTTTATTACGTGTATTTATCCTTGCAATTTAAAATCTGTTTTATTTGATATTAGTATCAACAATTCGATGTTTTTAATTGAATTTCTATTAAGTTACCTCATTCCAATAGCTGAATAACTTTTTTGTTATGATATTTTTTCCAAATTTAAAATTTATATGGCTAAAATATTGTTTAAACCAAATAACCTTCCACCCCTTGAGATATAGGTACTGGTGGCAGGGAGCTGTGTAAGCGCGCTGTCCCGACACAATGCAATTGAAACTTGGACCTCATGTATTGAGGTGGGCCATGAGCTAGCTGTCCTAAATTTTAGTGAAGGGAGAGGGGAAGGTAGTTTTACGAGCGTGTGAATTGTATAGGTTTAACTGTAGAATGCAAATACGCGATGTGTTAGTCCAAGTGCATATTGTACATCAGTCTAAGACCCTTTTCGGACACACGTGCCATAGACACGGAATTATAGTAACACCACCTGGTTGTAGCTTTTGCAAGTNGATAAAGTTTAAACAAAAGGATTTTATTATCATAGACATGAATACAAAAAAGTTAAATTAGATAAAGTTTAAACAAAAGGATTTTATTATCATAGACATGAATACAAAACAGATGGCGCGTAACGGAAAAATGTGACGCGTAACCGAAAAATGTGACGGTAAATTTTTTTCCAACGCCGATAAAGAAGTTTCACTTCAAAAAAAACTTGAGAGTTGTTTGTTGTATACGATTGATGATAAAAAATCGAACTCCAAAAGTGAACGGAAACGTGTTTGTTGCTATTTGTGTCATCGGTACAAACTACTACAAACACAGACACGGCGTGCTCCATCTCTGCACAGATCGAAGGATCCCGTCACTCAGCAGGTGGAGTGTGGGCGGCGGCGTGCCCGTGCTCTGTCGGAGCTGGTTAGTGTCAGCTGCGCGTCACGTGTCCGCGGAGAGCACCACGGTGCGGGGGGTGTCGGCGGGAGCGGGCGCGGGGGCGGGGCTCGGAGAGGAGCCCCGGATGTGTTCAGCGTCAGTGACGTCACGCGGCAGCCTGGCCCGCCTCGTCTCCGGCACCATCAGCACCGCCAGCGCCGCCAGACACGAGAACGCGCCGTATAACAAAGCTTGGATGTATATACTCTGTTGACAAATTCAAATTTCATTCAAAATTCTTAAGATTATTGTTGCCTGCCTAAGCACCAGGAGACGAGGCCACTCGAGACGAAGGGCCCCCCGGTTCATAGGTCACAGTACGAAGTTTTGTCGCGGTGTGGACTGTTGAGAGTCATCGCTTTAACATTATATAGTGCACACCAGTGCGCCTTCCCGGCGGCGCCGGCGTCGGTCGCCAAGAGACAGACAAAGAGAGATCGCTAACACATCGATGGGCACGGGCAGCCGCGGGTGGCTCGCACAGATATCGGCACTCGATGGATGTGGAGATAGCCTATCATGTACTGATACTGTTTATGTACTCAGATAGATAAAAATGTATTTTACGTATGATGTTTGATGTTTACAAGACTGATATATGTACAGATATTTACGTATGTACGTGCCACAGAATAATGGTACTGTCAATCCAACATTGACTAACTGACTGAAATTCCAGCTTTTGTCAAACCATTAGGTTGTATCTCGAGACATCAAACTCCGGCAACGGACGGATGAAAATTAAGAATTAAATAAAGAACACATATTTGTTTTTCATTCATATGTAAATTTGAAAAAGATTAGGATACATATTCGCTTATGATCATGCGTAAAGCCTTGGTATAAAAGCGCCTCAGCCAGGGACCACGCCAGCCTCACAGGTAATGGCTGTTTCGTTAATTACTTTCAAAAACTTGATTATGATAAGCGTGTCGGTCTACTAATCATTAGAGCGTTGATCAAGTAAGGCAATGCACATATTCTTACAAGTAAGGGAGTCTGCGGCGCCAGTATAGAGCCGACCCTGCCCACGAGCGAGCAGGCCGCCAGCGCGGAGCTGCGGACGCTGGTCGGGAACAGCTCCGCCGTGAACACGTACATGGAGTTGAAGGCGAATGTTATCGCCAGCTTGCCCACGAAGAACATCCCCAGCCCCGCGCCCGCGTGCGCTGCAATGTACATGGGAATCGATAATCGCTCACCTTCAAATGCCCATTTAGCTCATTATAAAAAAAACATCGACATTCACATTGTGGCATAATTTACCCTTAAGGGTTGCCACTAGTGAAACAGTAACCCCATGAGCTTACGTAGTGCAGACAAACCGTAACACTCACAAGTGAAGTAAGGTGTGACACAAGCGACGCCGCAGACCAGGAACGCGACGAAGATGCTCCACTTCCGGCCGAACCTCTCCAGCGCCATCATGATCAGTAGCGACGCCACTATCTCCATCGACATATTCAGAGCAAAGTTCGCGTACTTATCTCCCGAGAGCGAGACCGAGTTTATAGTGAGTCCGTAGTAGACGAAAGCGACCGCCACCCAGCACCAGGAGCAGATCGCGAAGCGCCCCACCAGCACGCGGGACCTCAGGAGCCGCAGCCAAGGGTTGGAGCTGGTTGAGTCTGAATCTGACTTCATGGAATCCTTGTCGCTCAACTTGAAGAGAATTTCTTCACTTACTTGGATCTGGTGAACAGAAAGGCCGAGATCAAAGACATTGATCGTATTAGTAGAAAAAAGTAACTCTGAGCTAAGTTTATATTATAGAGTAGGGCCATGCGCGGTGTAAGAAGCAAAACAAAACAAACATAATAAATTTAATATAAGTTTTATTTTGTAGATGGAATATGGTGGGATTGGAACTTTCATCTGTTGCAATATAGTTTGCTATCATTTCAACATACTCTAAAAATATTATTAAACAGCTGTAATCACCAAGAATCTATTCTTATTTATAAGACATGTGACGATAGTCAGCGATGTGTCAGTGACATTGGCATTGTCTCTGGTTATGGGCCGCTGTGACCATTTTCCGTTACATTAGTCGTATACCTAGTATATGTACACAGTACCTTGTTCCACCTGGCAGCCTTCTTGATGATGTCCACGGTTTCCTCAGTTCTGCCCTTTGCGTGTAGCCAGCGCGGACTCTCGTCTACCAGAAGCCAGTAGAGTGGCAGCAGCAGCGCGAAGGAGTGGACGGTGTACAGCAGATGCCGCCAGTACTGTATCTTCCACGCTATAAGAGCGAACAGCATCCCGCCCAGCCCGTAGGCGACTCCCGTGGCGCACGCGAACGAAGCTCGGAGCGATGGTCGCGCCAGCTCCACCACTGATCAGTACAGAAACGTTACTGGAGCTGTGTGTGTGTGTGTGTGTGTGCGGGTGGGTGTGTGTTATTGGTACGATTTTACGATTCTTAAATTCAAAACTGTTTTCGTTTTTTAAATTTGTAATCAAAAATGCAAATGTAATGTATTTTATAAATGTGATCATAGTTATATAATATGATCATATATCTGAAGATGACGTCTCCTCACTCATGACATATCCAGCGCTATTAAAGCCATAGCCGAGGGCTGCCTCAAAGAACTCCATGGCGACATACATCTGGTAGTTGATGGAGAGGCCCTTGACAATGCCGAGCACTGCCGCGAAGGCTGAGAATATACAGAAGGCCGTGCGGCGACCGTATCTGGAATGATCGGTTCAAATTATCACACGTACAGTCTTATTCGGATGATTCCAGTTCCAAGTGTAAAATGGTAGGTAACTGTTGAAATGTAAATGAAGACGTTGTGGTCGTGTCACAGACTAGGTCGTATATAGTGGCATCAGATATGCATATACTTGGTGGTAAGGCGTTGTGTGAGCCCGTGGTACCTACCACCAAAGGCGGGGCTCTGTCGTGGATCAGTAATGCGTTCCGGTTTGAATGGTGGGGCAGCTGTTGTACTATTAAGATTTAGAACTCATGTCTCAAGGTGGCAGTATTGACGTTGTGATGTATATGCGCTCCGGTAACCGCTTAGTATCAGGGGGGCGTGAGTTAGTTCCCTCATCTATACTATAAAAGATTCTAGAGTACCCAAACCTGACATTGGAATTTGATATGGCATGTATTGGCACAAGTACACGGACGTCTTTTCCATTATAACATACATACCTACCTAGCAATGGCAATAGCAGGTCGATTGTCAGTTTTTTTTTTATTTTTTTTTTTTATTGCTTAGGTGTGTGGACGAGCTCACAGCCCAACTGATGTTAAGTGGTTACGGGAGCCCATAGACATCTACTACAACGTAAATGCGCCACACACCTTGAGATATAAGTACTAAGGTCTCAGTATAGTCACAACGGCTGCCCCACCCTTCAAACCGAAACGCATTACTGCTTCACGGCAGAAATAGGCAGGGCGGTGGTACCTACCCGTGCGGACTCACAAGAGGTCCTACCACCAGTAATTACGCAAATTATAATTTTGCGGGTTTGATTTTTATTACACGATGTTATTGATTATGTAGTGGTGTGGGGAAATACGAACGTGTCGGAGATGTATCCTGTGAGCAGGAGCGCGAGGGGCAGCGCCGCATTACGGACGGTGCCGACCAGGGTCCGCATCCACTCGCGACACCCCAAGTCAAACTGCAACCACGATACGGTTGGTCACTCTCAACTCCTAATCACAATACAAACAAAACATTACATTGATCTATCTGTTTTAATTGACTAGAAATATTGTGTTTTTGCCTCGAGCCGGCAAGCCACAGCGCACACAGGTCGCGCGGTCGGTCGACGACGTGACACACACACACACACACACACACCTTGTCATCACCGGAGTCGCGTGTAGCGTGTCGGCCGCAATGTTTACGTTATACTGTGTATGGTTCTACTGACCTCAGCAAAAGTAGTAGACATGCTCTCATATACAAAATGATTGCAAGCCTTAGTGTCATTCTGATGGAAGTCTTCTCGTTGACAGGAGACTGTCCCTGCGTCCTGCAGTGGTAAGTATCGGTCGCAGCGGGAGTCCGCCGGGAGGAGCGCCTGTGCTGCAGGGTTGTGGAACTGGGTGTAGTTACCTTCGCATTCCGGGACCACACATCTGGGAAGCAGTAACAGTTGAAACAGTCGATTAGGAGGTTGAAAACGTGACGTGTGTAAACTATGTACTAGTTGGACAGTGTCTAGCGGGAAGGGTGAGCGAACACTAGGGCTCAGCTTTGGGCTGCTAATGCATCTATTACCGGATGAGAGAATCACGGAGAGCAGCACCGAGATAATTTAGGTAGGTTCATCAGGACGCGCCCAGGGCAGTGGGGTGAGCGTTTGTTCCTTAGTCTTCTATAGGTAATGAGGACGTATGAACTATCCGCATCAAAAATTACTGTTAAACATCCAATAAAGTTTTATAACGAAGATTTCGAAACATATTCATTTACAGCTTGTGTTTACATTCATTTTATCACAGATCATAGCTGCTATCAAGATGAGTGATGCGATATCTCCACGTCACGCGTCTGTTGTTGAGTGTTCTACTATCACTCCCCACTCTGCAAAACTGCAGAATGCAGACGATATGATGTTAAGACTCATAATGTAGGAATGGTAACTATACTATTAATTTATGGCAAATGTGGTACATACAGTCATAAGGGCTCAGTGACTATGGTACTGCCTGCCTGCATCTGGTATTGCTACCCAAAGATAGTTAATGGTAGATGTTGTCTGTTGATCGTGGCCGTCGTTTGCCCTCATATTATGATAAGTATTATGCATGTATAGATAGATATATCTTATATAAGCTTCTACCCACGAAGGACATACACTAAGATCTGGTAATCGGTTTGTATGACTGCATGTCAATCGGGCGTATCTGGTTCCTGTGTCAAAAGTACGGTCATATCTGGTCATATTCGTTATTGCCGTCACGGTGCTCTAATGAGAGTAGTCGAAGTATAGTATATAACAGAAGGGCTATCGGATTTTTTTGAGTTAATTTATTTGTAGTTATGCGAGAAATTGATGTTGTTTATTTTCTCGTATTCTATTACATTTTTAAAGTATGCACTGTCGAGCTCGGAACGTATCAATCTCGTTTTGCATAAAAAGTACTTAAATTGCGAGTTTAATGAGTGTTTTATCTACTATTACGTGTAATAATTGTGGCTGTAATGAGGCACGTCTGAAGATAATGCGATTAGACACTTTGCTATTCTTATTAAAATATAATATTTAACAAAAAAAACATGATAAGGTACATTATTGATCTATTTCGTGAGTCTCGTAATACCTACTTAGATTACTTTTTGCAGAACTGAAATGATTTGCGTTTATTGTGCTTTGGAATTTTCAATGAGAGCGGAATATTTGTAGCGTACAGCTGATTAATTATTGATCCAAGCATGAATATTGTACTGTAGACACTTTTTTCAAATAAACAGTAATTACAAGAAGCACCCCTGAGGAGTTGCGACTGTGTCGGCAATAGTTTCGGTTAATGCTCGACAGTATACATACTCGTACACCGGAGCGGAGTCCAGTGCCGGGGTCACACCACACACGGAGACAAATAAAGGGATTCTAAAATATTGGTATACTTTAGCAAAGCGAAGCCTTAATGAAATCTGAAATAATAAATACACAGATACAGAGAGCATAGATTGAATCTCATGTGAGTATTATCTAGGCCGGGACTCAATACCCATAATAATCTATAATAAAACAATAGGACTAATGTTTAGTTTGTAAAAATATTTGATTGAGGTAGCGAGAGCAGGCCTCGGCAACTTTGCGAACTGGTTCGGCTGAAGGTCGAGCGGCTCGCGGATACTACACTCTGCTAAATTCATTCATTGACACACTTAAAGACGTGCTGTGCATATTCATAGAAAATAATCATTGTATTTGATCGATTTTGGTTTTATTTTTGTTGACAAGTTGTATCCGTCCTACCATACCTACTGGTAACGGTAGGTAGCGGCGTAGCTCCGCCCCTCGCCTTACTCGATGTTGCAGAGGGACGACAGCCACTTACGATCGGTTAGTCCGAAGGATCATCGGTCTTCCGTTATAAATGAAAATACATTATAATTCAAATTAAGGGCGCAAAAATCTGTATGTAAATATTAATAATGACAGTAAGCAGGCGACAGGTGCGACCTGCAGCGCGTCCGCCAGGGTGTACTCTCCGACAACAAATACCAAACATCAGAACAATAATCGACACAAATACATACACACGCAATTGCACAAATACTCTAATCTATTGAATTAAAACCATCAACAGTATGTACATAGCGCAATGACATATCATAGAGCCCTTAGCACTTTTACACTGTTGTCAAATGCGAACGTATTCTCACCGAAAGGGCACCTGGTCCGCAACGAACACATAATTAAGGGTATACATGGCCGCGAGCAGGTTGGGGATACACAGCATTATCGCGACATATCGCTGGTAGAGGCCGAAGGGCCCGAGTCGCCCCAGAGCGTCCTCTAGGGCTTCGGCGGCGAGGTCGCGCGACGCGTGCGCACTCGCCACCATCGCGGCTCGGTCACTGTCGCCGGACGGTGCGTGTGTGTGTGTGACGGTAGCGCGCCGCTACAGCTACTGATAACAGAGGCAGCCGCGTGGCGCAGGTGGGCCGTATACTCGTCTGCCTGTAATGTTAATGAAATAGCTTCACCATGTGTGCGGCTGGAAACTCGTGACGGGAAGCGATTCGCAGGTGGCAGCCATATTTTAGCAGGGCGGGATGCTAGCAAACGCAGCCTCATACAGAGGATGCAAGGGCGTGTACCTCATCCGATGTTGTCTCAAGCCTCGTGCTCTCCAGCGGCAAGGTTCCTCATTGGTTTTTTGGCGGCGAACGGAACGAGAGCATTTCACAACAAGGACTGGATTCCAAAGAGGTGTCGACACAGGTGTAGAAACTATAAATTAAAAAGTATTATTACACGTATATTAACTATTATACTTAGTCAGGTCATAAATTCTGTCACAAGTTTAATGTAAAATAATTGAAACAAGTTTATTCATTATGTAACCATTCATATACCAAAATGAACTTAACAAAACATAGATTCTTATGACACTAAAGTTTATTCAAAATGACCTCCGTGATTTTGAATACAGGCCTTCAATCTGCGCGGCCAGTCGTCTATCGCAGCACGAACG